CGGGCTTGGGGGCAAGGCAAGCCTGGTCCTCCATGCCACCCCAGAGACTAAGAAAGTCTACCCAACCAAAAATATGCACATGAGGCTAAAAGACCAATGTCAAATGAAAAAGGCTATTGACCAGAGACCCAAGCCTATCTCCAACCAAATCGCCAGCCTCAGAAAGATGTAAAAGAGGAAAAAAACCCTGCCACTGCCAATTCCTAAGCTGTAGGGTTTTATTTTTTATTAAAATAAAGCAATTCTGAGACTTTTAAAAATATTCTCAAATTATGAAACAAAAAGTTCTACATCTAAACGGTGACTGTGGGCTGTAACTGCCTGGCACACCCTCCTGAAGCGACAGATGAACAGTGCAGCTCCTCACATGGCCACTCACTTTTAGAAAGGATACAGATTTCACAGAGCCAGCCTAGATGTCCCTCCTATACACTTCTCTCAGATTACCCTCCCTATCCCTCTTAAATGATGCCCAAATTGAATTTTAACATGATTATCTCTGGGCCAAGGTCCAATATATGTAAGTAAAACATCCTTCATCAGTAACTCTAAACCTGCAGCTGTAGAAATATCTCAAACCAAACAGAACCCAACCTGACCCACCTCACACACAGAAAGAAAACAGGAAGCTCCTACCTCACTCTCAACAGACAGCTGAGATTTGATCATGAGTGTTTACTGGACCAGCGCAGTCTGTGAACTGCCAGAGAAGCCAACAGGGCATTCCCCCTCGGCAGAGCTTGGTATTTCTGAGAAAACCCAAATGATTTCAAATGCAGCTATTATCACCAGTCTACCAGTGTGGTGCTAGTGAGATGAACAACTTTTTACATTTAACCAAGATACATGATATATAAACATGGCATTTCCACCAAATGCTTGCTTCTTGCCTCTCATCCACACCCATTCTTCACAGACATTATCATGCAACTCCTTGGTTAGCTGTCTGAGGAAACCCTTCCCCATTCCATCTTGACATTCATTCCCATAGATTTCCTCCTCCATCCCAGAGCTGTATACACCACCCAGAGAAGGAGGCTATCACAAGGGCCTTTTTGCAATCCCACCTCTAGGATGACCTGGGCCCAAGACAAATTTGGTCTGGTGATCCACTTTGGAGGAAAAACATGCCCAATAAAATTATACCCATTGCCTATTTCTTTCCACCACCACCATTCCTTCATATCATGATAACCTCATGCACATTCAAGAACAAACGGAAACTGAATAGTGAAGACCAATGTATCCAGAAGAGCAGAGCCTTCTAGCAAACTCTACAGGATTTTAGAGTCTTAAAAAAAAGTTGGCAAACTCCTATAAGGAATCTGACTTTGTAGGCCATTCAGCCCTGGTCAGAACTACTGAACTCTGACACTGCAGCAGAAAAGTAGTTAAGACAGGAAGTAAACAACTGTGTTAATAAAAAATAGGTAGCTGGCCATCAGACTGTGACTTGGATGGAGTGTCTCAACAGAGGGACTCACGAAGCTACAGCAGCCCCCAGACAGGAAGAAGGGCCAGGAGGATTGGTGCTTCAGGAGGGACAGGGTCTCACCTTGACAATCATAGCTGCAGCCACAGCCAAGCATGCAACCATCAGCATCACCAGCCCTCCTCTGCTGAACTGTTTCAGGAGGAAGAACTTCCCCCACCCCATCTTGGACTGACTGTTGGGGGGGTATCTGAGCTTGTTAACACTTTCTCCCTTTAGCCCTTTTAATAAACAGGGGCGTTGATGAGAAAAAGTATCAAAACTGTACTTTCCATGATAAGCCCCCATTCCACTGGCACCTGAAATAAATGGAACAGATGAAGAAAATTTCATTGTAGGTGCTTCCCATTTCAAAACTTGACCAAGAAAGCCTGAGTGTGTTCTGCTTGGGGTGTAGACACCCAACTTATTTGCTTTTCTCAGAAATCCTACCCAGCTTGCCCCCAGCACAGTCACCGCCCTCTCAGCCAGGATGAGCTTTCCATGAGCAGGGCCAGAATCTGAAGCTCTTCTAGGCTTGTGCTGTCCTTTATGACAGAAGTGTGCTAAGGGTTTCAGTGAGTTATCTGGGGGACTCCTATGCCAGCCCTGTAGTAATTTATACCTCCAACCCAGTTTCCAGACAGGAAAAGGAATTTATAGAACTAGTTGATCTGTCTAAACATGGCTGTTAAAGGAGGAACCTGAAATGTGAACCCAGATCAGTATGATGCTAAATGCTAGGTGTGTGTTTTTTCTATGAATCCACATGGCCTTATTTATCCATGGCTCCTCTCACCTGCTTCCTCTAAGTCCTTGAAGAACAACCAAGAACACAGTAACAAAGTTATACAGCTAGGTAAAAATAAGCAAGGAAAAATCTCTGCCTTCCTGGGAGCTACACTTGCATAATTCACAATGCATACAACAAACTGGCAGGTGCGAAATGTCCTGAACAGTGGCAAGGGCATGCATGGGGCAATGACAGAAGGCAGAGTGATTGGAAGCCAGGAGACAGTTGGTTAAGGGCCAGGTCACAGGTGACTTAACTGTTTTGATAGAGGGTGTCATTTCAGAAAGCAAGACTGATTCATTGGAAAATTAATGAAACCAGAGAGAAAACTGGAGAACAGTGAGGGAGGAGAGAGGAGTGGCCAGCTAAAGCCATGACCATGGTAAGAAGGACCCAGGAGAAAGGACCAGACAGTCCGTAATGCTTCCCCAAGAACAAAATGACTTCTGCCCATCCTCTAGAGAATAGGGGATTCTCATTCTTCCTCAAATCAAGCAACATGCAAGGAAAGGCTGCCCCTCCCCAGAGGGACTTGAGGAGCTTGTATAGGCAGCACTGACTACCCCTCAACATCACCTTGGGCAGAGCCCAAAGGGATATCAGGAAATACTCTGTTTCTGGCATTCAAAACCTTTGTTTCCCATGCCTCATTTGAAAAGAGAGCTCTTACTAATTAATTTGAAACATGATGCTTGGTCCTTAAGCCTCCTGAATCTGGTAGCAAAAGTAAGGAAAGTAACTAAGTAAAGACAGTGACTATAGCTATGGTCAGTGTTAATGAGGACAGAGAGTGATTCACCAGAGATGGCACTGGGTAGGGAGTCAGGAAACTAACACTAGCTGGATGGCTGGAAGGGTTCTCAGAGGAGGGAGGACAAATTCACAGGGACCTGCAGAATAAACAGCACCCAACTTACAAGAAATCCAGGAATCACTCGTCTGGAATATTTCTATTCAGGAGGCCACTGCGGTGATTTGGGGTCCACATAGGCTCTAATTTTGAATGTTTGGTCCCCAGTTAGTGGAACTATTTGAGTAGGATTAAGTAAGGAGCATGGTCTTGTGGGAATGTGCCTAGTCTTTTTGGAGGTGTACTGCTGGGGTAGGCTTTGAGGTTTTAAAAGCTCACTCTAGGTTGAGTCTGAGTCCCTTTGCCTGCAACTCGAAGATCAGATAAACACTCTCAGCTACGGCTCCAGCTCAATGCCTGCTTACTTGCCTCCATGCTCCCTGATGCAATGATGATGGACTAACTCTCTGAAACTGTAAGCAAGAGAAATGTTTTCTCTTTTAAGTTGTCTTGGTCATGATGTCTCATCACAGCAACAGAACAGTAACTAAGACAGTCATACTTACCCACACCTCCAAAGGGCAAAGAATTGACAGTGAAGTGCATGATGACATCATTGCCTGTGACTCCACCGCTGGATGTTTCGTCAATCACCCGTTTGATGAGCTGAGGAACAGACCAAAGGCACCAGGTCAGAGCTAATGTCCTGTTACCCCGTGTCTTGGAATGCACTCACTGTGGGCCCTAAGGACATGCGTCCTGGCTTTTTGTGTGCTGTAGCAAGTTTTTTAAGTTTGGGGAGACACAAAATTCATGCCAAAAATTATGAAAAATAATGTATAAAATTATCTTCAGGCTATGTGTATATTGCTTCATGAAACACAGAAGATGCTTAAACTTGGGTCCCATCTCCAAGGTAGCTCATTTATAGGCAAATATTCCAAAATCTAAAAAACTTCTGCAGTCAAGTCGGGTAGTAAGTGGCACATATTTGAATCTCTGTACTTGAGAGGCTGGAGCAGGAGGAACATGAGTTTAAGGCCGGCCTGGGGTACACAGTGAGATACCACCTTTAGAAAATTCTAAAATATTAAACACTTCTACTCCTCTGTATGTCAGTCTGCAGATAAAGAGGGTGGCCCTGAACCTTTGAGCCTGTTGCCTTGATCACCATCAAGATCTATACTCCACAACAGTACCAACAACAGATGGTTTAGAAATTATTACTTCTCTCAAGGTGGCACTGACCAGAAGACTTCTGCCCTGCTGAATAGCTTCTTACAGTACCAGGAAGTGCTACACAGGCTACTGAGGGCAAGGGTGGAGGGAGTCTACCCAGTTGTGAATCCTGTGAACTACAATAATGACCACAAGATATGCCTGTGGGTGCAATAACAATCATGCTATGGGGGTAACTAACCACCTTCTGCTTGGATTTAATTTCCATTTCCATAGGAGCCAACATGCCTGGCATTATAAATCTGACCAAAAATTCATGGCTGGGGAGCTCAGGGGCTCTAATGATGAACCTACTACTAGGATGTTTCTAAGTGGACTGACTTAGTGTCAAGCTACCCTCTAAATTTGTATTTCTATAGCCATAGATCAACATACTTCTCAGACCTCATTAGAGAGGTTTCTTTTTTTTTTCTTTCTCCATTTTTTTTATTTGAATTAGAAACAAGATTGTTTTACATGTCAATCCCAGTTCCTTCTCCCTCCCTCCCTTCCTCCCCTACCCCTCCCAACTAACACCCTACCTACCACATACTCTTTATGCTCTCCAGGGGGCCTTCCATAGGGGGGTCTTCAGAGTCTGTCATATCCTTTGGGATAGGGCCTAGGCCCACCCCCGTGTGTCTAGGTTCAGTGAGTATCCCTCTATGTGGAATGGGCTCCCAAAGTCCACGCCAATGCTAGGGATAAGTACTGATCTACTACAGGAGGCCCCATAGATTTCCAAGGTCTCGCGAGGGTTCTTTGTGCAGTGGATAGCGGTGGACACGGAAACCCTCAATTGGTCAAAGTGAAGAGAATAATTGTCTATGGAATGAGCAGCCTCAAATGGGACATTCATATCACACACTGCCCTTCAGGGGTTGAGGATGGTCAAGGAAGGGGCGAAAAGATGGTAAGAGTCAGAGGATGGGGAGCAGCAAAACAAGGGGAGAAAAGATGGTAAGAGTCAGAGGATGGGGAGCAGCAAAACAGTCTTTCAGAAAAGACCACTGCACTCCTGAACTCACAACTGCTGTAGGCGACCACGGAAGATCAAGCCAGTCAATGCACCAGCTTGGAAGGGAGAGGGACTCATGAGCTCCTACCCCATAGCTGAAGAGATATTGACAATTTTCTTTATAGGTATGGACCCTAATATCCAACCATGTCCTAGTGGATGACCCCACACCATGAGTAAACAGGCAAATTAAGAGTTAGTGGCAAGACTGGGGAGTGAATGTGATCAAAACATATTGTACACATGCATGAAATTCTCAGAGTAAATAAAATAGTATATTAAAATTATTATTTCTCAGCTGGGTGGTGGTGGTACACGCTTTTAATCTCAGCACTTGGGAAGCAAAGGCAGGTGGATCTCTGTGAATTTGAGGCCAGCCTGGTCTACAGAGCAAGTTCCAGGGCAGCCAGGGCTACACAGAGAAACCCTGTCTTAAAAAACAAAACAAACAAAAAATTATTTCTCAATTCCTCATCTAAATTATACCATATGATTAACAGATATGAAATGCAAAAGATGTTAGACTTATCCTACTTTTGAAAAAATAGCTAGTTTTCCTAAGATCCAAAAAACCTTCAATATAAGCCTTGAGAATTCACAGTAGATGTCAAATGGGACTGCAGTGACCACAGGGAAGTGCTCTCCACCAGCTGCATGTTCCTGAATCATGCCCTTGTATCTCAAGTACCTGTAGCCATGAGAACTTCACTAGCACAGCAAGCTCCTAAAGTCACTATGTAACTACAGCACCTTCCATCAGAAACTGTACGTGGCACCTGGTCAATGAATTCCTCACACAGACTGGTCCCTTCTTCCCTTCTCATTTTTATTTTTCCAGAAGGATCCTGAACCTACATATCCACATGGAAGCTTCCATCTGCTAAGAGCAGCAAGTCACCTATGACACCAATGACAGAGCACACAGGAAGAGGCAGAGCTATTTGTCCAGTGATACAGAGCTGCCAACTTTTGTGAAGCAGAAACCCAAGTTCTCACAACCATTTATATGATTTGCCAGAGGTCTTTGAGTTCCCCAGCCCCGTCTAAGTGGGCAGGCTCTATGGGTCCACGTCACAAAAGCACTACACACTAGTACAAGTAAGTTTTCTAATTATTTATGAGGTGTTTGTTACTCAGAAGCCTTGTGCCATTCATCCCTGTGGATTCAGTTCTAACTCCAGGGAGTAAGGGAAGGGTACAGTGATAGCCCAAGGCTCCATTACCAAAACAGCAAGCTATGAATACAGTCAGTCAACTTTGATATGTAAATAAACCATCTACGTTCTATAGCAATAAAGAAATCTGGCTCTTGAGAGGGGATTATTCTCTATAAAGCTCACCTTATTGTTATGAGAAAATATGTAGAGCGCCAGGGGCTTCTCACGATCATTTATGAAATTAATGGCTTCATCTACATTTTTCACAGACACTATTGGAAGAATTGGTCCAAAAATTTCTTCTTGCATCACCTTGGAATTAGGATCAACATCAGTAAGTATGGTTGGAGCTAAAAAATAAAATAAAATAACATTTATGGTTAGGTTGAAGACCAAAAAAAAAAAAAAAAAAAAAAAAAAAAAAAAAAACCCTCTCTTTTTTTATTTCTCTTCACTTCGCTGAGTCAACTAGGCATATCTATTAGTTTGTCCTCTCACAGTGTGCCAGACCCAGCTTTGGTTCACAGTAACCTCCCCTGCCCACAAAATCTGCTTCCAAATCCACTGTTGAACTCAGGGAGAGGCCTAACTAGACCAAGATAATCTCAACTGTTCTTCCTTCATTTTGTCTTTGATTGGCCTAGAAATGGGTCACACTGCTACTTAGGAGATGGGAAGAGCAGCAAGATGAAAGATTGGTTTTTGTTTTCTGTTTTTGGTGGTATTAACAACCAAAGAACCACGCAAACCAGGAGAATCTCTATGAATTTCTTTCTTTCTTTTTTTTTTTTTTTTGGTTTTTTGAGA